TGTGATCGCTGGCACATTGGGAAGGGGAGTTGGAGGTGGAAGGAGTACGCGCGAAGGGGAGTTTCGAGGTGTTCGACAGCAGAGGGGAGCTGGGATATGTTGATTGGCTTGCCGTTGCAAGCGGTGTTGGGGGTTGTACATGACACCAAGAGGAATGAGGTGACAGTGGACGCGGGAGGGAGGTCGGCGCGCCTCAAGAACCAGAACTTGAAGGCACCGCGCGAATTCTCGGACGTGTACAAGGCCGCGCAAGTCGCAGCGAGGCGTGGAGCCTCAACGGGGGTGAATTCGTTAGCGATTCCCCCTGCGAGGCGAGTCCCTTCCGTAATTAACCCCAAGAACGCTCACGTACACCGAGTTTCCGTGTTGGCGACAGATACTCCCCGCGAGCGATATCAATCTGGTGTGGAGACTGAAGAGCGTCTCTCCGGCGAGGACGCGGAGGGGAGGGAGGGAGGTGTTGCGGAGGTGGAGGCTGAAGTGGGGTGTGCGGAGATCCACGAGGTGGGGGGCGATGAGGTGACGGAGGTCGGGGTCGGGGATATCAGCGAGGAGACGCTGGACGAGGCGGGGTTCGAGGGAGACAGCGAAGGATTGGAGGAGGAGGAAGCGGGAGCGCAGGTGGGAGGAGTGCCGCAAGCGGTGAGGGAAGGGGTACCGCTGCCAGATGAGATGTATGACGCGATGCTGCGAGACGCACGCGCAGAGGGTGTAGAGGAGGAGTACTGGGAAGGGGAGACGGAGGAAGATAAAGGCGACGCGAGGACACGCGAAGCCTCAACGGGGGGTATATTGTCCGCAATTCCCCCCGCGAGGCGAGTACTTCTTGATATCTTGCCATCTTGGATGAAAATTAACCGTCTATCTCGAGTGACAAATATCACCGCCGGCGGCGAAATGCATGCGAGGAGGAAGGGGGGAGTGGGGAGCGATGAGAGGTACAGTGGGGTGACGGAAAGGGTGTGGAGAGTGGGAGACGAGGGAGATGGGGGGAGGAGCGACAAAGCCGACGCGAGGCCACGCGAAGCCTCAACAGGGGGTATGTTGTCCGCAACTCCCCCCGCGAGGCGAGTACTCCTCGAAATCCTGCCGCAGTGGATGACTACTGACCACAATCTGCATGTTGCACATGTCAACGCCGTCGACAACATCTATACGAGGGCCACCGATCCCTTCAAGACGGCGCGTGTAGCGCGTATCCTCGAGCTCGTAGAGATCGGTCCCAACGTCTCGGAGGAGCAGAGGCGTGCGATCGAAGCACTAATTGCGAGCTACGCGGACGTTTTCGCGATATCAGTCGGCGAGGTCGATGCAGTGAAGGGCGCAGTTTACTCACCCAACATCCCGGCGGACGCGAAGTTCAAGACAGGCGTGCCGAACCAGCGACCATGGACTTTGCCCCAGAACTTGGACGTCAACGCGCAGGTGGACAAGTTAGTGGACGCGGGAATCCTGGTACCAATCGACGCGAAGGATGTGAAATGTGTAAGCCCGATTACGCTGGCAGAGAAGGAGCAGGGGGGCGGGATGACGCTGAGTGAGCTGGTGCATGCAGTGGAAAGGGAGTGTCAGAGGGAGGGGATGCTGCCCAGGATGGACCTGCCGCCGAAGGATCCGCTGCGTGCGCCCACGGTCGAGAAGGCAGCATCGTGGAGGATATGCGGCAACTTTAGCGAACTCAACAAGTATTTGGAGATCGTGCCGTTCCCGCAGGGTGACATACGTGAGAAGCAGAGATGTATATCCGGCCACAGATACGTCTCCGTTTTTGACTTCGCATCGGGTTTCTTTGCGCTCGAGGTGGCGGAGAAGATACGTCCATACCTGTGCGTATTGGTGCCGGGGAGGGGGTATCATGCGTACGGGCGGATGCCCTTCGGGCTGCGAGATGCGCCGACGGCGTTTGGAGAGGTGGTGGCGCGACGGATGTGGGATTTGGTGGTGACAGAGTTGATGGCGTTGTTTGTGGATGACGGCGGGGCGGCGGCGGACGGATTTGACGAGATGGTCGCGAAGTTACGGAAGATCTTCGACCGAGTTCGGGAGGCGGGACTCTCATTGTCAGCGGCGAAGACAAAGGTCTTCATGACCGAGGCGGTGTTCGCGGGCTCGCGGGTAGGACCGAAGGGTGTTTCGCCAGACCTACGCAAGCTTACTACGATTGTGAACTGGCCGACACCGCCCAACGCCCTCAATCTCAAGTCGTTCCTCGGACTCACCCAATATTTCAGGGATCTCGTGGAGAATTACGCCAAGAAGGAGGAGCCGCTGCGGGATTTGTTGAGGGAGGTAGAGGCACCGCTGGGGGAGGGAGCGAGGACGTACAGGCAGGCGATGAGAGCTTTCAAGCTGGCGCCGTTGTGGACGAAGGAGCATACACGGTGCTTCTTGGAGCTGAAGCGCATCCTGACGTCGGAGCCTGTTTGTCGGTCGCCGCGGTTCGAGACGGTGAAGGAGTACCCTTTCATCGTGGCGAGCGACGGGTGTGGGAGTGGGTTTGGGGGAGTGTTGTCGCAGAAGATGGAGACGGCGTTGCCGGGAGGGAGGATGGTGGTGAGGCGACACCCAATCGCGTTTGCGTCGAAGAGGACATCGGCAACGGAGCGACGATACGCGCCCCATCTACTCGAATTCGCTGCGCTGAGATTTTCACTAGACAAGTTTTCCAATGTCATCTGGAGCCAGCCGGTGAAAATCGAAACGGACTGCAGCGCTTTGCGGGACGTCCTACTCAACGACAAGCAGACGAGTCACCACGAGCGATGGAACAACGGGTTGGCAAGTTTCAATATTGTTGGGGTGAAGCACGTGAAGGGGTCGACGAATGTGGCGGCGGATGCGTTGAGCAGGAAGTACGAAGGAGTTCCGGCGATGGAGGGGGATGGACACGGGCAGACGGTGTCGCCAGATTGGGAGGAGAGGGCGGGGCTGGTGAATGACATGTTCGCAGTGGAGGACGTGATTGGGTTGTACGAGGTCTGTGTGGAGCGGTGCGGGGGGACGGAAGGGGGTTCGTTCTTGATCATGCTGCTGCCAGAGGGGACGATGGCGCTGCGTGAGCGGTTCAAGAGCGATCCCTACTTCTTGGAGGTGATAGATGCGCTGGCGGAGATGGATATGGGAACATCGATGAGGGAGAGACAGCGGGCGAAGAATAAAGCGAAGGACTTTTTTGTGGAAGACGGGAAGCTGTGGGTATTAGGTGGTGTGCGGAAGGTGCGGGGGAGGCCGAGGCGGGAGTGCGTGACGGAGGCGGAGGCGCTGGAGCGGGCGGTGAAGGTGCACGTAGAGGGGGGACACTTCGGGCGCGATTCGGTGAAGATGCAGCTGACCAACGTAATTTGCAGGCCCAAGCTTGACGCGATTATCATCGACGCGATCCGCGACTGCGGCAAGTGCAAGGCCTTCGGTCCAAAACACATCCACTCCCTGCTCGACCCCATCACCCGTTGACATCCCATGGAGCTCCTTGTGGGTGACTACCTCTCCATGCCGAAAGGGAAAGGAGGCTACAAAACGCTTGGTGTGTATCTTGACTGCTGCTCCCAGCACGTGTGGGCGGATAAATACAAAACCGCGGGCACGGGCAAGACGACGAACGATTCTCTTTACCACATTGCACACGACTTCATCCCTCCCGAGACGTTCATGACCGACGGCGGCTCCCACTTTGACTGTAACGAGGTGAAAGCATTTTGTGCGAGGTGGGGGATAAAGCACCATGTCGTCGCAAAGTACTCGCCGTGGATTAACGGGCTCGTCGAAAACACTAACAAGTTGCTCATATACGTGCTGGCGAGGCTGTGCGCGCCGGATGTCGGGGAGGAGGAGTGGAAGGCAGCGACGTGGGAGAAGCTGCCGAAGAATTGGCCCGAGCACGTCGACGAGGCTATCCGTATACTCAATGCGCGAGTCTTACCATCCATCAAGTTCACGCCGAAGGAGATCTTCCTTGGCCGCGTTGTCAACACTCCCAAAACGCTGTTGGCTTTCGCTCTCGACGCTCCTATGGATTCGGACTACCAGACGAACATGGCCTACGTCGCACAGCAGGGGCTGGACAGGTACGCCGAACGGGTCGTGTATGCGCTAGGGAGGAAAGCGGCATTCGACTGCAAGGTTATCGCGTCGCGAGCGGGAGAGGTGACGTTCGAGAAGGGGCAGTTGGTGCAGGTGGCGGGGAGTGTATGGGACTACACCTTCAAGTCACTCCGGAAGCTCATCCACTACTGGTCGACGCCTTACCGAGTCCTGGAGCGCATATCCCATTCATATAAACTCGAAACACTACAGGGTGAGGTACTCGACGGTGATTACAGTTCGCGACGTCTGCGCGCCTTCGTTCCTAAAAAGGGTGGGCGGTTGGAGGCAGCGCAGCAGGTGTTTGTGGAGGCGCACGAGGATGGGTGGCGGGAGGTGGGTGTGGCGGAGAGGGAGGCGGTGGAGGCGGAGAGGGCGGCGGAGGTCGGGGCAGAGGTGGTGCGTGCTGTGTGATCGAGTTTGCGTAGGGCGCCGGGACGGCGCCATCTTGTTGGTGGGCGCATGTGGTGGCGGGAGTAGGCGGCCAGGGGGTGGCGGTGTAGGTGTTTGGCACGGTCTTTAGATAGTTTGGGCTTGTAGATTAGTCAGCAGCATCATTCCTCCTTGCACACACTGCGAGAGATTCTCCCTCAGTGTGATCGCCGAGTTCACCGCCACTCAGATCCCCGACCACTCCAACAGCAGGCATGTTACCGACTACACAATCAGGTCATTATTGCCTTCTCCCTCCCCTTTTATATGTAAGATGCAGTATGGCAGTGGAGCACCTCAGTTGAATGAATGAGTTTTTGATCAAAAGTTGAACCAGGTTGAACTTACTCTTGGAGATCCCACTGGCAGTGAGTCATAATCAGTCACTATGAACGCGAGCAGAGTGCTTGATTGAGATCCAAATTGAAGACCCGGAAGCGACGAAAAGGAAAGAAGAAGAAAAAGAAAAACAATGAGTTTCAACTCCATGACCCGACCTCGAATTGAATGAGGAACTCCCGCTTAACCTTAAACCTTTGTTGTCCAAGGACGGCAGGGGTGTTACCAACTACACCACCAGGCCATTGACTCCTTTGTCCCTACATGGTATGGACTACATGGATTGAATGTTCAAGTCAGACTCGGAGTTGTTGTGCGATTAATATTGAACCACATCAACAACTTGACGCCACCACATTCTCATCGCGCATGGTGAACTGAGTGCTCGTTTAAAGCCTTGTAGGCTTCAACCAAAGAAACGAACTCGGAGCTCGAAGCTCGAATAAAACAGAAAAGAAAAGGAAAGGAAGCAAAAAGGAAACAAAAAGACATGCAATGACCCAACCCCGATTCGAACAAGGAGCTCCTACTTAGACTACTTGACATTCACCTAGTATCAGTAGGAGTGTTACCAGTTACACCATCAGGTCATTGTTCCCTTTCTCCCTCTTATATCATATGTAGCCGAGCCAGGACTTGGGTGAGTTTCAATGGAAAATCAAAGCAAACACACTTGAAATAAATCCCCTCGTCGTGCAGGAAGCTAGCTTGAGTTGGGTGCTGAATCAAGTGAATCTAAACAAACATACTTACGGTACTGGAGAGACCAGGAGAGCAGAAAGACGGGGAAAAAAACGAAGATGAAAGAAAGAAAACAAAAAACCTATCAACACACCATGATCCGACCCCGAATCGAACGAGGGACTCCCACGCAAATGTTCTTGCACTTTCAAAAATGGTAGGTGTGTTTCCGGTTACACCATCAGGGCATTGATCCCTACCTTCTTGTTATACCTTCCTGCTATACTATAGGAATATGTAGATTAAATCAGTTTTCAGTGGGAAGTTGAACACAAATTAAGTTGAATTTGCTTGAAGATCAATCACAGTAAAATTGTGCTTGGGGCACTTGAGAGTTCAGCCAAAGAACTTGAAGAGATGTTGACAAGCTCGAACTTCGAACACAAGAAAAGAAAACGAAAGGAAAGAAGACAAAAGAAAATGGCTGGAAGGAAGGAAATGGCCTGACCCCGATTTGAACAAGGGACTCCTACGTAACTATTATTACGGTCACATATGTACTCAGCTTTAACTACTAGGATGAGCAGGAGGTTGGCAGGAGGAGGGGATGGTCATAAATGGTATTTAATTGGAAGGTGGGGTGCTCACTACTGCCCCCCAGGTGCTTCTGACTTGGAGGAGCCGTCAACCCTGAAGTCGAGGTCGGCAAAGGAAAGACACGGTTCGGACCGGCCGCCATCAAATCATGATTTGTGAGGAGACGTGATGTGTTAAAGTTCGACAATTGAAAGAGGATCCCTGGTAATTTCTGACTCTAGTACACTCACTTTTTGCCCAGCCAATGTGCTGCTGTTCATAATTCGGACAGCAATTACTGGTATTTTTTTTGGCCGCTGATGCCTCGGTAAAGTTCTTATGGTGTCCTTACTCCAAGAAGAGTAAATAAAAACCGATCAATTTGTCGGTACTTAAGTAATATATACACTACAATGACTTCTTGGTATCCTTGATTACCTGCTGAAGTTCTTCGATTTCCTCTTGTTTGCCGAGCTCTTGGTATGTCTTTGCGAGATTCTCCATAGCAAGGATGGTGTCAGGATGTTTGTCACCCAAAATTTGCCTTCGCTTCTGAAGCACCTCAACCTCCAGGCCCAATGCTTTGTTCAAGTCACCCAAAGTGTAATGTGTGACTGCAAGGTTGGCCATGGCTCTCAGTGTGTCTGGGTGATCTGCACCTAGCAGTTTCCTTTGTTTCTTCAGCACTGAAACCTCAATCTCCTTTGCTGTTTGGACTGCACCCAAACCAGAATATGTTCTGGCAAGATTACTCATTGCCAAGAGTGTGTTTGGATGATCTTCTCCCAGAAGTTTGGTTCGTTTCTCAAGCACTAGAAGCTCAAGCTCCTCTGCTTTCCTGAACTCTCCTAGGTTAGAATATGTTCCGGCAAGGTTGCCCATTGCCAACAGTGTGTCTGGATGATCTTCTCCAAGAAGTTTGGTGTGTTTCTCCAGCGCCAGAACTGCAAGCTTCTCTGCTTTCTCAAACTCCCTTAGCTCAGAATATGTTGAGGCAAGGTTACCCATTGCCAGCAGTGTGCTTGGATGATCTTCTCCCAGAAGTTTGGTGCATTTCTCCAGCACCAGAACCTCAAGCTCCTTTGCTTTCTGGAACTCCCCTAGCTTAGAATCTGTTTGGGCAAGGTTGCCCACCGCCAACATTGTGTTTGGATGATTTTCCCCAAAAAGGAGTTGTGACTTCTCAAGAATCTGTTCAGCAATGCCCTGTGCATCTTTAAACTTTCCTGCGTCATAGTATACTTTCCAAAATGCCTTCCTGAAGTCGACTGCTCCATCAGGGTTGACAGACTTCAGTAGAACAAGGTGAGGTAAAAGCCGCACTGAGCTTTGTTGTATTTCATTCTCTGGGATCTCAGCAATGCACATGCCTAATATAGAGCTCATGCATGACTGAAGTGGTGTTTCATTGGGCAGGGTACTCTGACTCCATGCATGGACCAATGGATGGATGGAAAACAGCTTAGTTTTTACATCAAAGCTGATCAGTGAGTAGGTTTTGATCTCAGTGATGACATCCAGGAATTTGAGAGAGTTCCATTCCCTGTGGGTCCCAAGAAATGAGAGAGAAATTCAAGTGGCTCCTGCAATTCCTCCCTAGGTGGTAACCATGATGGAAAGTCATACTTTGAAGCAGTGCTGAACATGTCTTCCGAAATCCCAGTGTAGTGTAGAAAGGAGCAGAGCTGTAATAAAGTTACTGCAAGGTGACTGAGCTGGTTGAAGCTAATCTGCCATGTTGTGAAGACTGTTTGAGCATAGTCATCATGGGACTGAGCGGCCTTCTCGCTGAGCAGTCTGGCCCGATTATTGTGGTACAGAGCCAGGTACCCTGCAAGGTCTTCAGACTTTGAGATGAATGCACCAGCCTGGACAATTGCAAGGGGTAGGTAATACAATTCCTATAAGAGAGATCAGACCTTTTGTTCATAATTTAGTTGATGTTATCCAACCTTCACAATTTCAGTTGCAAGTTGAAGATTTTCTTCAGAGCTCTCTTTGTTTGCCCTTCGAAGTAACAGGGTGGTTGCATCTGCTTCTTCCATGTCAGACACAAGAGTGTGAGCTCCATAGCTACGAAGTTCAGGATTCCGAGAGCTGATTATGATGTTGCCATGGCTGCACTTTGGGAGAAAATCATGGAGGTTGATTTTTGGGTCATCAGCATTATCGAAGAAGACAAGCCATTTGTTGCGGTTAGATTGAAGCCACCTCAAGGCATCCTGTGCAGAGTCACCAACACTTTTGGAGACAGCTATACTCTTTAGACCTGTTTCAATTGTCTCAACTTTGCTAGTGTCAACAAGAAAGGCATCAGAGAAGCTGGAAATCAATTCAGTTGGTACTTCATTTTAGTTGAGGAAATGGGGGAACCTTGACTGTTCAATGAACTTCAGAGCAATCTGTGTCTTTCCGGCCCCACCAAGGCCATATAGGACATAAATGTGTTGGTGTCCTGAGTCTGCATTGAAGAATTGATGCATCTTGTCCAAGATTGCCTCTCTGCCTTGAAAGATCCTGGATGGAGGAGGACAATTGTTGATATTCTGAACTGCTTTAACCACGGCAAAACCTAAAAATATTAAGCTTCAACATAATGTAACGGACAAAGGACATACTGGGGGCCGTTATAATAGTGTGCATCTCATCTACTTTGAAGTTGGTCTCAACAATTGCCATTAGCTATGATTCAATTAGATGAAAACAGTGTAGCAGATTTAAGAGAACCTTGCCTTCAGTTTAGAACACACTCCTCCGATCTGTGTCTGATACCCCGCAATCTCATCTGTGAGACTGCTTGACTTTAGGAATTCCTTGACTCGTCCCCGAAAGCCTTTGGGTTCATCCTGCAAATTCCGGATTGCAAGGATTACTGTTTCGAGATAACTGGAATAGTTGCGGTACAAGAAAGAGACAAAACAAGGATTTACAGCACCTTTCAAGTTCCTCGCATAGGCCCTTGAATTTGATAGCAGCAGTATTCCCATGGGCCTTGATTTGGTCATGAAGAATGGTGATAATTTCTGTACTGCTGCTGCACAGCTCTTCCAAGTCCTCGCGATTCTTCTTCACTGTCTGCAACACCAATTATATCGGAAGTCATTCAATTTAGATGCTCGCACACACCACAATTGTCTCCAAAAGAATCAGCACGGTGCCAGAGACTCCTTTGATGTAGGGAAACGAAGCACATTCCGCTGCCGTCGTGATGGTCTTTACTGTGAGGATTGCAGGTGAGAGCCAATCTGACTTTGTTTTGGATGGAGCCTTGAATGGGCGCAAAATTGTTCCTCCTGTTGTAAGAGGGGCTGGGGAGCCGGAGGTCGGGGGAGATGTGGTTGACATGGCTAAGGACAAGGACGGAGACAACGGGGCGGACAACGAGGCCGTAACCCGTTGCACGACTTGTACAGCTTTTTTCGAATCAGATTGATACCGCTGTCAACGGCCAGAAAATAAATAAATAATGTAGGAAGTCGCAAGTTGCGATTGGACATTCGAAATTATCATATGCAAGGGTACAATAAAGGACGGAGATTTTATGTCGCACGCGCGAAGGTCAACGGAAACGAGCGAAGGTCAGGAACTTCTGCGCCGCAACACAAGTATCCCTCACCCGCACATACAGCCACCGGCTGAGCACCACAGCCAAGGGACACCACAAATAACACGTCGACGTTGGCGGCTACACCCTGCGCCGCCATGAAGGCGACGGTGGACGGTGCTCACTCGTCACCAGCTATAGCTCGATAATGACGATCTGAATCACCTCCGACTGAGCAGTCACAATCCCAGTCTGGGACGGGAGCGCATCGACGGCCCACCGTGCGCCCGCTCTTGTCCCCTCCGTTCTAACCCGCATCCGTATCCGGAGACCCCCGCTGACCCTCCGTCAGCTTGTGTCCTCCTCCCCAGGGCAACGCGAACGATACGAGGGTGCGAGGGCGAGTGCGGTTCCCTCCGATACCCGCCCCCTCCGTACCCGCACCGGCGCACCCGGTCCCAATCACCCCCGCCCCACACCCACTTTCCCCATCTCCCGACAACATCCTCCCGCGTCGAGAACAGCACAAGGCGAGCTCGTAACGATCGGAGCAGCGTCGCACCGCACACCCGCAAAGAACACTCCTCGCTCTCGAGAACGACACCTTTCCCCTCCCCCTCTCCCGCAAACCCAAGCGAAACAAATAATAAATAAGAGAAAGGAATAACCCATCCAAAGGAAGTGCGCTTCCAAACCGCAAGATGAGACATCCGCGATAACCAGGTTGCAGTACACCTCTCGTCCGTTCCAAGAGGGGGGAGCGAGGCCGACGTTGACGGGGACGTGAGCGCGCAGGACGAGGGCGAGGGCGTGAGCGCGCACTTTCATTTGAGCCGGGAGTGAGCGTGGGCGTGGGCGTGCTAAGCCGAAGAAGCGTGCGAGTGCGATGGGCGACGTCTTTTGAGGCACGCGCGGGAAGGGGGTGCGAGTGTGCATGTGCGTCAGGTGCGGGGGGCGGTGGGGGAGTGCGCGTGCGAGTGGAGGTTCATGCGAGCGCGCGAGGAGCAACGTCGTCTCGCTCCGGCCGTGTCGCGTGTCACTGGACGGAATTCAGCGTTAGTACGAGTTATAGGGAAAGTTAATGAGATAAAGTAGCGAGAGGCAACGCGACGAGAGCGTGCGCGGTTC